TTATCCAGTTTTCCATCTTTATCCATATCTTTAACCTTTTTTTTTTTCCTTTTTCCTTGTTTATCCTCCATCTTTATCCATCTCTACCCATCTTTTTTATCCACCTCCCGTGGAGGGGGAAGGGCTGCGCTGCACTCTGCTGCAGTCCAATACAGAGGCAACACTGGAGGGGTCGAGGAAGCAAGCTTACCCGTATGACCCCTCCGTAGCCCAAAAAAAATAATTTAATATCGGTGTGGCCCGATGAGCCACGGATTGGATCAAATATTAGACTGACCAGAACAGATACTACTACACTTTATCTATTTTTAGTCAAAAGGCCGAGAAAGGCATTTTTTAAATCCATCTTTTCAGCAGATCAAGCGCGGAATGATATCCATATCTTTATCCTTTCTTTGTTGTTGTCTTTATCCGTCTATATCCTCCATCTTTATCCATCTTTCTATGTCCTCCATCTTTATCCATCTTTCTCTGGAACGGATACTACACTTTATCTATTTTTAGCCAAAAGGCCGAGAAAGGTATTTTTTTATCCATCTTTTCAGCAGATCAGATAGCACGGAACGGTATCCATATCTTCTTCCTTTTTTTGTTGTTGTCCTTATGCATCTATATCCTCCATCTTTCTATCTTTGTCCATATGTTTATCCGTATCTTTATCCGTATCTCTATCCATATCGTTATCCATTTTCTATCTTTATCCATCTACTATCGTTATGCATCTCGACCCATCTTTTTTATCCATCTTTTCAGCAGATCAGATGCATGTAATGGTTGCAGATTGGAGCGAAGACTTGTGGCACAAAACTTGCTCTTTTTTTTTTTTTGTACAATGGAGAAAAAAGATGATTTCCGCTCTTAGGAATTGGACTTCAATTGCGGCCGGCAGCTGAATTTTTTTTTTCCTTTCTTTTTTTCCTTTTTTTTCCCCTTTTGGATTTCATGCTTCGTTATATTTATCGTCTTAGTAATTTTTCCATTTAAAAAAAAAAAAAAAACAGTATTCCTACCCGTTCGTGTTATTTGAGACAACCCTCTTTTTCCCCCTCAACCTATCTATCTGAGCAAGACATTTGCCACCCCGCGTTTCTATTTTTACACTCTATTTTTAGACTGTCTAGTGCTCAACTCTCATAACACACTCTCTCTCTCTCTCTCTCTCTCTCTCTCTCTCTCTCTCTCTCTCTCTCTCTCTCTCTCTCTCTCTCTCTCTCATTTGTCCTATCCGCTATACACAGCTCGACAAACAAGAGCATGGCATTGCCTGTGCCAGACTGTTCCGTCGGACTTTCGTCAGCCATGAGGAGGTTGCGTGTTGTTTCTTGTCCTTGGATTTGTGACCGTTTGGCTTTTGAATATGATTGTGCGAATGTGTAGGGAACAGGGACATCGACTCGTGGATTGAGTTTAAGAAGCGCGGCAAGCGGAAAGAGAGAGCGGTGAATCGAATCGACAGACACCAAGGAGTGCGCACTGCACCACACCCCCCCCCACACACACTGCAGAGGAGCGGTCACGCAGTATAGGAGATTCACCGCACCGAGACGTGTTTGGCGGGCGACAGCTGGCACAGTGAACAAGAATTATGGCGGGAACAAAAATGGCGGGAAGAGTGGATAAGAGCGCGCGCAAGGGCGTTCGCGCTGCAGCTAGTGCTAATCTGGCTGCCATGACATTTCTGTTCTGTCTGGCGGCCACGTGTCTGGTGGCCGTGCTGCTTCTGAGTAGTGGTCCTTCTCCTGCGGAGGCGCAGTCGTGTCGAAGGATGGAGTTGATGGTGGATTGCAAGAGATTTCGCAGAGTGCGGTCGAAGGCGATGTGTTATAGAGAATGCCTTAGGCGGCAAGGCCAGAAGACTTTCCCGCCATTCGGAAAATGCTGTTCCGTGGCGAGATACATCTCCCAACCGCGAAAGTGGATTAGTGGAAGGGTTTGCTGCGTCGTGCGATTCGTGCGACCGGTCGCTCGTCGGGGTTCCATTCGCGCGTGCACGTGCCCTCGCCGAGGCTGAGGGTGAGGATTGAGGGAGAGGGAGAGGGAGAGGGAGAGGGTTACACACACCCCTCTGCTGCGTGAAATCTTAGGAGAAAGGACTGTCGATCAACGACGTGAAATCGGAGCAGCAGCAGGAGGAGGAGGAGGAGGAGGAGGAGGAGGAGGAGGTAAGAGCTGAGAATACGGTCCTCCTCCGTGAAGGAGAAAAAACAGGTGGCAGAGGGTGAAATGGATAAATGGGCGAAGGAATTGCAGGGGCAGGAAAGGAAGTTGGACGGGGGTAAATGTGGAAGGTACAGCAGCAATCAGGACTAGACTGTTAATTTAACGAAAAATAGGAATAGGAAGGGGGGGAGGGTGAATTGGAAAAACAGGCGAGGAATTGGAGGGGCAGGAAGGGAAGTCCGAGAAAAGGGGCAATGTGGAAAACTCATCAGGAACCAGGACACCACTCTCGATGCACGACAACACAGTGGGAGGGTAATTTGGAGAATTAGGCGACGGATTGGAAGGGCATGGAGTTCAACGAGAGGGTACATGCGGAAGATGCAGCAACTACCAGCTGAGGACAGGATACGAGTTAATTAATGACGAATGGTAGGAGGAAGGAGGGTAAATTGGAGAGAGGGGCGATGAAGGGAGGGGTATCAAAGGGAAATTGGTCGAGGGACAACGGTTTTGCAGGCTAGATGACTTGTCTTCCTTCTGGCAAATGTCTGGACTCACGATCCCGATCCCGATCCCGATCCGGCTCGTTGGTTCGCCCGTGCATATAGTCGCGTACTTTGGATGGATGCAAAATTACATATGCATATGCTATGATCGACAGTGTCCAAAACAGGAAAGCAATGGCCAAAGATTTTTTTTATTTTTTTATTTTTTTTTTCCAAAGATATTGTGCCTTTGGCCTTGCTTGGGTTGTGTGTGTGTGCTTCACATCTTTGGGTCGGGACGAGAGAGTTGACGAGAGAGTTGAGACTGTGAGCGGCAGAGGGGCAAAACGGGGAAATGAACGGAGTTCTATCCTGATTAAGGTACGGTCATCATGATGACGAACATAGATGAAGTAAACCAGATTCGGTATGGGCCAGTAGACAGTTGAAGGAGATCTAATCATCGGTTAAGGATATCTAACCAGCGGTTAAGGAGATCCAGGCAACTGCCCAGTTGGATATGAAGCAGATCCAGTCAGCGATCGATTTATGAGATCTAATCGTCCACGAGGAGGAGGAGGAGGAGGTGGAGGAGGAGGAGGAGGAGGAGGAGAAGAGAGATTGGCATCTATCGGGAAGCAAATACTTGAGGGGTGCAAATGTGTGTGTGTGTGTGTGTGTGTGTGTGTGAGAGAGAGAGAGAGAGAGAGAAAGAGAGAGAGAGAGAGGCTGCGAGTAGTGAGCGGCAGATAAAGAGTGGGAGTGACACATGTCGTCAAGAGCACTGAGTATATGTTTAAGTTATAAGAGAAGGGAAGCAAATCAGGTAAGATCCTAAGAATGGAATGGAAATGGAAAGAATAATCGGAAAAGGAAAGGAAAAAAGAGCCGTTGAAAGGCTTGTTTATGGCCTAGTCAGCTAGTGGGCGACACGTGTCGCTTCCCCACGTGCATATGAGATAGAGCTACCGGTAGTGTGTGTGTGTGGCAGGGACACTTGTCGCCCACTAGCCGTTGAAAGGCTTGTTTATGGCCTAGCCAGCTAGTGGGCGATAAGTGTCCCTGCGATGAGATGTGTTAGCGGTGTCAGTGCAGGGGCATACGACTAGAGACTCGGAACCAACGATGACGTCAGTTGGGCGACACGTGTCGCTTCCCCACGTGCATACTGGAGACTCGGAACGGATGATGACGTCAGCTCGGCGACACGTGTCCCTTCCCCACGTGCAAACTAGAGACTCGGAACGGATGATGACGTCAGTATAGGGGCACGTGATAAGCAGCTGGCGATTAGCGGGACCACCGATCGGCGACGTAATTAGAGATCCTCGCAAGAGTACCGGTCTTCTCCTGCCGAGGCGCAGTCTTGTCGACAGCTGGCTGATTGGTCTTCCCTTTAACAGCTGATCGGTCATCGTACCCACCAGCTCCTCACAGTGCTCACACCCATCGCTCGTCTGACATGAGTTAGAAAGCTACCAATAGAGATGAAGCCGGACATGTGTGTTAATGCATATATATCGTCAAATAGAACTGCCCGGTAAACCGTAGGCAGAGAGGGAGATATGTATATATATGATACGTATATACATATTACAATTGGTGCTCATGACACGTGTATACACATTACAATTGGTGCTCATGACACGTGTCGCTGACCGACCAATGTGTTAATGCATATATATCGTCACAAACAGAACTGCCCGGTAAGCCGTAGGCAGAGAGAGAGAAGAGGACAACAAACGAGGGGCTGTGACAAACTGTTTCGTCAGAGTTTCACCGACTCATCAGGAGGCTGAACCCTCAACAGTCTGCAGAATCCCCTCACTGATTACACTGTATATATGATACGTATATACATATTACTATTGGTGCTCATGACACGTGTCGCTGACCGACCAACGACAGCGATCACATGGCAGGAAAATCACTAATCCATCAACGTCAGTGTCGAACAACATTGGCCCTGCGCGACACGTGTCGCTGACCCATCAACGACGGCGATTACGGTGGCGGGAAAGTCGATCAACGGCAGCGATCCATGATCGGTAATCAATCAACGGCTGTGTTCTATACAAGTGCTGCTGATCAAGCAACGACAGCGATCACGTGGCAGGAATATCAAACAACGGCTAGTGATCGATTTATCGATGTTATCGATCAGCGTGGTGTTCACAACACGTGTTACTAATCAATCAACGACAGCTTGAAGATAAATCACACACACACACACACACACTCCTGACGAGTCGGTGAAAGTCCGACGAAACAGTCTGTTCAGCACAGTCATGCTTTTCTTTGAGCGTATAGCGAATATGACAACACACACGCACACATACAGAGAGAGAGAGAGAGAGAGAGAGAGGAATATCGATGTACTGGATAAACATCAGTTGTCAGGACCCGTCTTGACCAATCAACATCAGCGATCACTTGGAGGGAAGATGAATCAGCGACAGTGATCGGTTATCGATAATCAATCAAAATCTGAGAGAGCGAATGGAAGGGCGATGACAACAGAAATCCGTAGCACGGGCCAGTAGTGAGCACTAGACGGCACGTGGAGCGATTCATCTTCCAGCGGAGGGCAGGCGAGATAAGACACGTGGACGGCAATGTGATAGCCACGTGGCGCGGGCCAGGTAAGACACGGAGAGCGCTATTAGGTGTAGAGTCGCTGACGTGGCCTGCGGTTCTTTGACGAGCCAGACAACTTGGTACTGATGATGCAAACCACCGTCCTCCCCCGAACTTGACGCACCCTGAAAAAAATGAATGTATACAAGGTGCGTTTCCTGCCCGATGCAGTCAAAATGAGGGTGCGTTGTCCTGGGGGGGAGACGGTAGTCCAGCGACGTGGCATGCGATTGTGAGGGTACGTGGCATGCAGGGAGCTGACCTGGAAATTGAGCTTTTCGATGACGTGGCAAGCATGCTTGGCAAGGGAGCTTGACGTGGCATTATTTAGTGGCTAGCTGCAGTTTGAGCCGGCTCACTTGGGAAGCACGTACGCACGCATGCACGCACGCACGGACGCTTGTTGTTGTTCAGGTGGGCGTCATATTCTTCCGAGATTGCATGAGAGAGAATGTGTAAAACATCCAACAGGGTCTCTGTGACGTGTGCCAGGTGAGATTTCGTCCTTCTTAAAAAAAAAAAAAAAAAAGAGATTTCATCCTTTGGTGGGTTGGGCTTAAGGAATTAGGGTTTACTAGCCTCCATCCTTCTTAAAAAAAAGGAAAAGAGATTCCATCCTTTGCATGAGAGAGAATGTGTAAAACATCCAACAGGGTCTCTGTGACGTCTTGCACATTTCGAGAGTAGTGCATTTCGAGAGTAGTGCAGAAACATGTTCCCAAACGAAGACTCAGATCCCAAAAAAAAAAAAAACGAAGACTCAGATCAGGGAGCAATGCGGACTCGCAGATCTAGAAGTGGCCATTTTGATTTTCTTCTTGTTCTTTAGTAACCCGGGTGGTAGGCACGAGTGGGAAGACGAGACTGAGGAGGTAGGAATAGGGAGTCAGGTACCACACGGTACCGCATGTACACTAGCAGGGGGTGGATAGGGTCCTAGATATAGTCACCGTGATGCTGGTAGAGAACCAGATTGCGGAGCTGCGAAGTGTTCAGACTTGGCATGTACTGAACGGGGACTACTGACCAGGTACGGTGGACGATAGAGGCGTGCTTTTTGAATACTCGGCGTGCAGACAGACGCACACGTGAGGCCGTTGGGACGAGGGAGCCTACGTAGGTGCACACCTGGTCAGTTACTGTCGAGCCAAGTAGGCGCCACGCAGTCAGTTACAGACGCACGGGCCGCGAGGTGCGGACGTGGTGCTGGTATCAGGTATATCTCCAGAGGGCAAGGCCAGAACGGCCCTCTTTCGCTCTGGGCGGAAAGTTACGGTGGGCGTATGTACTCCTAGCGCAGGGGCGGTTAGCGGTACTCCGAGCGCTGTTTTCCGGCGGCGCTAACGCACCGCTCGGTTCAGCTGTTGCTCCATGCTACGGTGCGTCTTCTTCGTCAATCCCTAGGTAATTGGGTCACCTCCTGCCCATCGCGGTCTTGCCTCGATGGTCTCGAGAACTACACCTCCATCCAGGCTGGATGGCAATGGTCCTGTTTGGACTGAGTGGAAGTTTCTCTCAGGGTGGCTCGGAGAAGATCGCTAACCCTGGGGCCTCAGGCCTGTCGCCTTCATCCTTGATGACAAGGACAACGGAAGAGATACGAAGACCCTCAAGTCGGTGACTCAAGGTAACTATATCGTGAGAGACACCAAGGGTAACCTCCTACACATGGGAAAGTGTGCTCGCAACGCTGTCTTGTTTCATATTTATAGAGGCCTATATATATTTAATTAAAAGAGCTAAGAAGAGTGTGGGCCTGTACTCCCTAGTCTTTCGTTCCTTAAAGA